CTCCCCTTGGACCACCCCATCCCTGGCCCCACTGGGCAGGTGGCTGAGGTGCCCGGGGCGCCCCGTCCCCCAGGCCGCTTTGCCTGCTTTCCCCGGCTCTGGCTGGGGCTATCCACCCCACAGGACCTCGGGTGAGGGGGCAGTGGCCCTCCTGTCCCGGGCTGCCCTTCTTGCACTACCTCCCGGCAGGGGGCGACCCTGAGTCACTGGCTGTCTGGCCTCCTGCAGGCGGGAGGTGGCGGGAGACTCGGCCCCACCTGCTGGCCTGGACGAGGTGTTTATGGCCGCCCCTGCCTGCTCCGCTGAGTCACGGGTGTGACCCAGAGCTGCCCGTGCCAGCCAGGCAGGACCAACCCGGGCACATAGCAGGGCAAGCCTGGGGTGGCAGTTCCTGGACAGTGAACACAAGGTGCACTGTCCCCCCCAGCCCTTGCCGCAGCCCGGGGTACCCCAGTGAGGGCCCCACAGGGGTGGGGTTGGTTCTCCCCCATCCCCTGGCATGCCCAGAGGCCCCATCGACGTTCTGTGCCAGACCTAGCGACCCGACGGCCACCCCGCAGGCAGAGGCTGGTCCCCGCAGGCCTGGCCGGGATCGGGGTGTGAATGGGCTGACTCAGGGCAGGACGCAGCTGCTGGGGCCGCGGCACTGTCCAGTGAGCCCCGCAGAGGCTGAAGACACAGTTCCAGGGACTGAGGCTCCTGGCAGTGCCCAGCAGGGGCTGTGGCCCTTACTCCGATGCTCGGGAAGGTGGACTTCCCTGCAGCGAGCAAGGCGGCCTCGGGTGATGGCGCCAGGCCCTGGCCGCTCCTGCTTGCGTATGCAGTGAAGGGCCGATCGGGCTGCGGGAGGGCTGCCCACAGGTGCCCACACCTGTCCACTCGTGCCCACACCTGCCCCCTCCTGCCCACACATGTGCGGAAGGAGAGGTGCCCGGGGCTGAGAGGCAGGTGCCCTCCTGCCGATTTTCCATTGGGACTGACACTGTTGGGTCTGGACACTCTCCCAAGGCTGCTGTGTCCTGGGGGCAGCCTGCAGGCCCCGTGGCGTCTGGGGGCCACTGCCCTGCACGCTGACAGTTGACTCAGACCTGGGGCTCGGCCCCATGCCCTCCCCCCCGTCTGTTCCCACTTGGCGCCCACTGAAAGGTCACCAGGGGCTGGTGTCCGCCTCCGGCAGACCCAGGAGGATGAGCCCGGTCCGTCATCGTCTCCATCCTCCGTCAAGCTGGCCCAGTGGTGAGCCCGGCAGCCCTGAGTGAGCAGGTGAAGGAGCTGCTTTACGCAGTGGCCAGCACGGTCAGGGCATGCTGTGGCTGCAGCCCGATTCCAGTGGGGTGTGGCCCCCTGAGCACCCCGTGGGAGCACCCCCTGGGAGCACGGGGGCTTCTACTTCTGGCCTAGAGCCCAGCGCAGGGAGAGGGGCGGGGCCTCGGCACGGAAGGGGGTCTCTGGGCGAGGGCCCTGTCCTCCAGATGTCGCGCCTGGAGACTGCCCCAGCACACCCTTAGGGCCACGCTCCCTCTGGCAGAGCCACCGGCCTGGGCCCAGGGCCTGCAGACGGGCAGGTGTGGGGACAGGGGCGGAGGCTGGGCCTCTGCGGGAAGAGTTCTGCTTGACCACACTCCCCCTCTCAGTCTTCTGCTCCTGGTGGGGAAGGACACCGCGCCCCCTCCCAAGGCAGCCCCGGGGGCTGTCAGTGCCTCGAAGGCAGAGGCCCAGCTCCGGCTCAGCCCCTGGGGACTCCGGACACTCACAGCCCTGGCCCCTGCGCAGACCTGCTGGCCACCCGTGGTCAGCCCTGGAGGCCACTCGATGTCACGCCACCCCTCCAGGTGCGGTTTCACCTTCTGCTGCGGCCAGCCCCTCCTGAGGTGCTCCCAGAGCTTCCCTGCCAGCCAAGTCCCCGCTGGGCGCTGCCTCAAGGCGGGGCCCTCGGTCCGGTGGAGGGGAGTCCAGTACCAAGCCCGCCCTGCTGTGCTGGCTGTGGGGTCCAGCTCCGACGCAGCTGGGCGTGGCCGCGCTGTAATTACATGTTGCTGGCTCCTGCGGCGCCTGCGCGTCTGATCATAGCATTGGGCCTGTTTGTCGACCGACTACAAGTTCAACCATCATGTCCCTCAAGAGATCAGCAAAATGGACCCACCAGGGGTGGGCAGGCCGGGGGCGGGGACCACAAGGGGGTGGGCTGGAACCAGGCCACGACCCCAAAGGCAGAGGCGGGTGGGGCGAGCAGGCTCTAGCGAGCTGGTGTGGGTGGCCGGTCCCCAAAGCAGCGCGACATCTGGGGGCATCTGGGAATACAACCGGGCGCATCTGGGAACATGACCTAGAGGTCCTGAGGGTGCTGGGGGCCGTGGGCCAGCGAGAGCTGCCGCCACCCCTCCCTGGCGAGCTGGGGCCATGGCCGCCTGCCCGGCTGCATGTGGACCCCCGAAGCCCCGGCAGGTGCCCAGGACACAAAAGCAGACCTGGCCCCGCAGCCCAGTCAGCCAGACCCGAGGTGGCTCCGACTGGGACAGCACCGGGGACAGTGGGTGGGCAACTGCCGGGCTCCCTGCCTGGCCACATGCGGCCCTCTCGGGCAGCAAGGGTCCTGACCACAGAAGCGGTGAGTAAGGTGAGCTCGACCTACAGAGCCACCACTGCCCATGTGGCTGGGCCCGGGAGCTGGAGGTGGCCACAGGCCTCAGCCTTCACTGCTGCGGCCCTTCTACTGGCCTCTCAGTGCCCAGGCCCCTGGGTGGGGGGGGGCGTGGTCAAGGCAGCCCTAGGCTGGGGGCCTGGGTCTGTGGCTGCTGTCCGCAGGGGTCCCTGCAGGCCTGGGGTGCAGGACAGGCCTGGTGGGGAGCAGTTTTGCTCCTTGGCTCCAGCTGCCTCACGCTGGGGGCCGTGAAAGAAGCCAGGGGTCCAGCCGGGACACCACGATGTCCAGCTCCTCCCCTGGGGGTGGCCTGGCCATGGCCCTTTCCGGGGCTCATCAGGTGAAACAAGCACTGGGAAGGCCCCCACTGCTTCCCCAGCCCAGCCATGGTGGAGTAACAGCCCCAAGGTCCTCTTGCTGCCAGGGGGACCCTCTTCTGTGACTGGCAAGGCCCCCCAGGTAGAACCCTCAGGGGTCTGTGTCCTGGCTGGGCCCTGGGTGACAGCCACGGCCCCCTCAGCCCCCAGGGCCTGCAGGCGGTCAAGGAGGCCGCCTGCTGGCAGCAGGAACCTGCCAGGCCTGAGAAGCCGGGCAACCAGTTCTGCAGCTGCAGCCCCACCCTCGCCTGTCAGGAGGGGATCTGGAAATTCCTGCTCAGGGACCCTCCAGGAATCTGGAGGCACCTGCGTCCCAGGGAGGTTCCGAGGGAGAAGGCCTGACAGCAGCAAGGCCAGGCCCTCCCAGCCCTCAGCAGACGTGCGGGCCCAAGGCGGTGCTGACTCGGGGGCGACCTGTGGCTGCGCCTGCTCTATCCTCTCAGCTTTAGAGAGGACACCTGGGCTGGGGGCAGCAGCTCCCCGCAGCCACGGAGCCCTGGGCCTGGGCTGGCCAGCTCCAGGGCCCCAGAGACGGCCTCTCCGCCACCAGGGCCGGCGGGCAGGCGAAGCCCTAGCAGGCCCACCTCCGCATTTGTGACACGGGGGTCCTGCAGCCCCCAGCCCATCCCACCCCTCCACGCTGTGAGAGGACCCTTTGGGGATGGACAGGCCTGCTCAGTCCTAGGGCCAGGCGGACTCCTTCCAGGGTGAGCCGGCATCCTCGCCTGGCAGCCCGAGGCCCGCCTCCCCCTCCCAGGCCTGTGCTGGCCATGCTGGGCCCTGCACCTCCAGCCTGCCCAGTGTGGTCACCCCACCCCCGGCCAGCTGAGGAGCTGCGGCCTGCACATCACTGTGAGGGAGCCCCGGGGGCAGCGACATTGCTCCTGGAGTGTGTCTGGGCTGGAGCAGGGCCTGGACGGCCGTGGTGCTGCCCGGAAGGCCCTCGCCCTCCTCTCGGGGGCACCGGGCCAGGAGACGCTGCCCCGGGGCCGGGCTGCCGTGCCCCTCTGGGTGTTGGCTGAGCCCTCAGCCTCGGCAGCTGGGTCCTGGGGTCTCCGAGGGCGTTTGCAGTATGGGGGGCGGTTTGCCTCGTTAAAGGCGATCGGCCGGAGAGCACAGCGGCCGGTCTGCACTGTCCCGAGGCCCGGCCGGCCGCAGGGGCGGCGCTGCCCGCAGGAGGGTGCCGGCCGGGGCCTTCCTGTACTCGGGCGGTGTCCAGGGCGCACCGGCCGCCACTTGGCTACACCATCAGCCACAGCAGGGTCTCCGCTCAGCAGAACCGGACCCCGCCGAACCTGCGGGGAGCAGGCCCGGCCGCGGGGAGCAGGCGCAGGACACGCTGGCGCCCAGGCTGGGGGCTCAGAGCCGGCACCGCGGGCGCCTGGCCGGGAGGGGCCGCAGGCCGCGAGGGCTTAGACGTGGCACCGGCCGCCAGGCGCTCGGCCCGGGTCTCAGTTTCGTCCCCCGCGCCCCCCCTTCTCCCCCGCGCCCCCGCCCCTCCCGCCCCCGACTCCGTGGTCCGGCCTGACTCCTCCGGCCTTTCGCGCGCCCCCGCCCCTCCACGGCGGCCCAGCGCCGGCGGGGCGCGCGGGGCGGGGCGCGCGGGGCGGGGGCGCGGGGCGGCGGGGGCGCGGGGGCGGGCCGGGGCGGGCCGGGCCGGGGCGGGGCGCCGGCGGGCCCGCCCCCCAGCTGTGCCGGGACGCCGACCGCGGACTTGCAACTCCAGACGCGGCTGGGCTGCGGCGCGGGGCTCCACGCGGGGCTCCACGCGGGTCGGGGCCGCGCGCTCCCGGGGCTCGAGCGGCTCGGGCGCCCGGGCCGGCGGGGATGGGCGGGCGGCCGCGCCGGGCGCGCGAGGGGCGCGCGCCGTGACCCGCCTGGAGCGGAGCCCGGCCCGCCGGCCGCGCCGGGGCGAGCGTCTCCGGGCGCGCGGCCGCGGGCGGCGGCCGAGCCGAGCGGGAGCCGAGCCGAGCCGGCCGGGCATGCGGGGCGCGGCGCGGGCGGCCGGGGCACGCGCGGGGCAGCTGCGGCCGCGGCCCCCCGCCCCAGGCCCCGGCCCGCCGCCGCCGCTGCTGCCGCTGCTGCTGCTGCTGGCCGCGCTGCTGGCCGGCGCGGGCGCCCAGTACTCCAGCGACCGCTGCAGCTGGCGCGGGAGGTGAGTCCGCGCGCGCCCCCCGCCTCGCGCCTCCCTCCGGCCCGCGGGGCCGCGGCGCGGAGCCGGCACCGGCGGGGCGCGCTCTCCGGCCCGGCTCCGGCCTGAGAACAAAAGAGCCCGCGGCGGCCCGGCCCGGCCCGGCCCGGCCCGGCCCGGCGCGCGGGGACGCCCGGCCGCCCACACCCGCGCGGCCCCCGGGTCCCTCGCCGCCCGCCCGGCCGGCCGCGCTGGGGCGCCCGCGGGTCGGCGCCGGCCTCGGGCCCTGCGGGCGGCGCGGCCGCGAGCGGGAAGGGTCCCCCGAGCCCGGCGGCGGCGACCTGGGGCGAGCGGCCTCTGCGGGCGCCCGGCCGGCGACACCTGCGCCCCGCGGGGAAGGTCGGGCCGCCCTTGGGGAGCGCGGGCCGCGACCCCCGCCCCGCCGCCCGCGGCCCCGGGGCTGTCGCCGGCCAGGGACGGGCGAGGAGCTCCGGGGCGCGGGCGAGGCCAGGGCGCGGCCCGGCGGGAGGGCGGCCCGGGCCTGCGCGCGCCTCCGCGGGGCCGGTCTTGCGCCGGGGCCGCCGCGGAGCCCGCGTTTGCGGGGCGACGCCTCGTGGCTGCGGCCGGCCGGGCCTGGGCGTCGGGGTGCCCGGAGCGGGCCTCGCCCAGCCCCTTGGCCGGAGGCTCCGGGCACCTCGCGCCGGGCCTCGCGGGGTCCCCTGGTGCCCTCCCCAGAGGGTGGCCCCGCAGCGGGCAGCGCCCTCCGGGGGACTGGCAGCCCCAGTGCTCTGTGGGCACCGGCCTCGCGCCCCACGCCCCCTTCCCGCCCCCTTAGAAGAGCCTGCGGGCCCTGCATGGGGAGGTGCCCGCCTGCCCCCCCAGAGCAGGGTAGAGGAACTGAGATTGCAGGGGGGGCAGCCCCAGAGCGGAGCTGGCCGCGAGCCCCGGCTGACACACTCCTGGCCTGCCCTTTCCCCTGCTGCGAACTACGATCCCCGCCCCACAGCCTCTGCCGGACGAGTCATCGCACCCCCACACTAGCCTTGGGGTGTCCTGCCTCTGCCGATTAAAAACAGAAACCCAGTCCTGGCCTGGGAGCCTGCGTCTCCGCCGGACGGAGAGCCGGTCAGGGCTCTCCAGCCGGACCAGGCAGGTGTTTGCAGCAGGAGGAGTTCCTTTCCCTCCTGTCCCTGCCAGGAGAAGCAGGGTGCCTGTGCACCCTCAGGACTGCCGGCGCGCCCTCGGTCGTGGGCTCCCTCCAGTCCTCTCCCGCTTAGCCCAAAGGCAGGCCTGGCTGCAGGGCGGGGGAGCTTGGGGTGGGGTCCGGAGAGGAGTCGGGGCCGTGTTCCCAGAGCAGCCCCCTCTGCCTGGCGGCACTGCCCCCCACTTTTCAGCCCGTGTCTGGAGCAGCCGACGGAGCTGGCGGGGTGGCGGTGGGCCTGGCTGCCGCTGTGCAGCCGACTGTGCCGGTCGGGGGAGCGGCTCTCCATAGCGCCGGCGCATGTGATGCGCCAGGACGTGCTCCTGAGTTTCCAAGCAGCGAAGTGGGCCTGGGACGGGCTTTATCAGGCCGTGGCCATAAAGGCGGACCATGGACTCCCGCTGTGGCAGGGCCGGGCCGGGCGGGGCGGGGCAGGGCCGCACCTGCTGCACCTGCGCGGGGGCTTGGCCACAGGGCCTGTGGCTCCCAGGGTCCATCGAGGGCTTCCTGACGGGGCGAACAAGCGGCTGTCACTTCCTCTTGGTGACGTGGGCAGGAGCCACCCACCCTTCCAAGGCCCCGAGGTGGATGCCCTGCCCTCTGCCCGTCAGGCTGCTCCAGGAGTGTCTGCCTGGAGCCGCCACTGGACGCTCCCCCTGCGGAAGCCGAGCTCTCACCACCCGGGCCCCACTGGTCCACGTGGAGCTGTGTCCTGCCTCATCCTCCCGCATTTCTTGGGAATGTCGGGGACGCCCCACGCTGACCATCGGGGGTGCAGTGCTGGCTTCTCTGGTGGCTCTGGCCTTCCTCCTGCCCGCAGGTGCTGGAGACCCAGAGGGCTGCTGCAGGCTGGATTCTCTGGGGTCCTTCTGGGCAGGCCGTGAGGCCTGACGTCCTGTGGGCCCCGCGGTGCTGGGGGAGGGGAGGTGGTGGGCCTGGGCCCACGTGGGCCTTCACCCTGTACCTGGACCCGGGGACGCCATGGGCATCGTGCGGGTGAGGGGCCACTGTGCGCACTCAGGTCTCCATCCTGGGAGGCTGTGGGGTGCCCGCCTGTGCCCATGGGGCTCCCTCTGGCCCACCAGGTGGGGTGCGAGCTGCCTGATGAAGGCCACTCAGTGAGGGGTGCACGGCCTATCATGTGGCTCCCCTACCCCAGGGTTGCCGGGAGGGAGGTGATCCCTCGGACAGGAGGGGTTTTGGGGAAAGTTGAGGGCCGGTGCCTGGATACGGGGCAGGTCCCCCACTGGCCCTTGGGGCCGGGCCGGGCGCCCGGGGCAGACTAGCCTGGCTGTGTCCAGTGGGCGATGATGGCGCGGTCAGCCCCTCGCCCGTGACCTGACCCCACACGCGCCGGCTGGTGCTGCCCCAGCCTCACGGGGCCTGTGAGCGTCCCCTGGCTTTGGCCCTTGGGTTTGGCCTGCGGTGGGTGACCTGCGGGCGGACTGCAGCCCTGGTCTGCCACTGGCTATCCACAGGCAGTGAGGCTTTTGGGCCGAGGACATGGGCCTCTCCCCGTGGCGGTCACTGGGCTCCCTCGGCTGGCTGGACACTCAATGCGGCATTGTTCATGCCACATAAAAATCCCAAGAATGTGGGGGAACCTGTCTGAGCCCCCGATCAGAACCAGACCCCATGCGGGAAAGCTGGCTGGCTGCGGGCTCTGGTGCGGGTGCCGGGGCTGCAGTGTGTCCCCGCCGGCCGGCCTCGGGGCTCTGCCTTGTCTACACAACACCAGCCACGTCCCGGGCCTGCCCCACCCGGCCAGCGCCCAGCAGCCAGTGGAGCACAACAGCAGTGAGGCTCGCGCGGACTTGAGAGCGCGGCTTCCTGCAGGCCCCCGCTGCCTGCGGACCCTCCCCGCCACCCCAGGCTGGCCGTGATAATGCTTGAGTTTATTTTAAAAAGTGTGGTCAGCAGAGAGAAGCCACGTGGCCTCTCAGGAGAGAGAGTGGTGTCTTGGCGATGGGCTGGGCCGGCACCCCATCCTGCCCGGACTCAGTAGGGCACCCTTGCAGCCAGCAGTCTGCTCTTGCAGGGGGCCAGGCGCTGGGGTCACCCTTCCCTCCACTGCCCCTGCTGTTGCTGGGCTGATGCAGGAGAGCCCTGTTCTCTGCTGTCACCTCTCCCCCGTCTCCCCACTTCGTGCGCCTTAGGCCAGGGGTGCAGGCACTGGGCTTGGAGGGAGGGGTCAGCTGCCGGCCTGCAGCCCTGGAGTCCTGCAGCAGGTGTGCTGGGGGAGCCTGTGGGGAGATGTGTGGGGTTACTGTTGCCCGATGCTGGGTGGCCACCAGTTCCCGGAGGTGGCCCCGAGCTGCAGGAGACATGGCGGTGGCCGGCCTCCTGCGGGATGGTGGCAGGGGCCCCTTGGGGTGGGGGCGGGGCCTTGGCCTGGGGCGGGGCGCCTGCTGACCCTGTCCCTCCCCCGCAGCGGACTGACGCACGAGGCGCACAGGAAGGAGGTGGAGCAGGTGTACCTGCGCTGCGCCGCGGGCGCCGTGGAGTGGATGTACCCCACCGGCGCGCTCATCGTCAACCTGCGGCCCAACACCCTGTCCCCGCTCCGGCCCCTGACGCTGTGCGTCAAGCCTCTCCAGGACGCCTCGGGGGCCAATATTTATTTGGAAAAAACTGGAGAACTGAAGCTGCTGGTGCGGGACGGGGAGCCCGGGCCTGGCCAGGTGCGGTGCTTCCCCTTCGAGCAGGGCGGCCTGTTCGTGGAGGCCACTCCGCAGCTGGACATCAGCCGCAGGGCCACCGGCTTCCAGTACGAGCTGACGGGCCACCGCGCTGGCTCCCACCTGCACGCGCCTTCCGGTGAGCATGGGAGCTGGCCTGCGTGGGATGGGAGGCTGGAGGGGCTGGGTTCTGAGGTGCCCCGCGCCCCCACGCCCAAGTGCTGGCGCAGTCTGGGGCTGTGGTGGTGCCCGGACGGCCGCACACAGGGGACTGTCCCCTCCTCCCAGCCTCCGGTGCCCCTGGCGGGCAGAGTTGGCTCCCACCCCTGCTGGGGCTGGAGGCCCGAGGCTTGTCCTGGGGCTAGATGGCCACCATCCCCCGCCCTTGGGGATGAGGCTTTGGTTTTGGCCTGTGCTATCTCGAGAGGACATAGTCCGTGGCTGCGGCCGGCTGGTGTGGGGCGCTGGGCTGCTGGCCTCACGTCCAGTCTCGGCACACATGCGCCAGCAGCACCAATGCCGAGAGAGGCCAGGGCAGCTGCTCCCCGGTGGGAGGCTGGGGTGGCAGGAAGTGGCCAGATGCCGCTGGGCCATGGGCAAAGCCCTGGCCACCCCTGCTGAGGTCAGCCCAGGCGGCCAGTGGCTCCTCCCGGCCCGGCACATCCAGGAATGTGGGCACCAGCTGGGCCATGGGGACGGCACACGGGTGCGGCCAGCAAGGCGGCTGTGCAGTTTGGGGTGCAGTCCTTCTGCGGGGTTCTCTCCCAGCTGGAGTGGGGCCCGCCCGGCCCCTCCCATACTCTGGGTTGGGGTTGGGGCGGCCGTTGGACCCACAGCTAGGCCCCCAGAACAGGGCCTCCTCGCTCTGCTGCTCGGGCCAGTGAGGCGCTGGGAGGACCTGGGCCCCACAGGCCTCCCCTCCTGCCTGGAGACCTCAGAGCCCCTCTGCGGATCCCCTCTGTCACCTGAGAGCTTGGGGGCAGCCCCGCCTGATGGGGCCGAGTGGCCAGGGTAGGAGTGACAGGGAGAGCTCCTTGCCCTGTGGGTGGCGCTTGGGGGCCTGCCCTGGCGGCTCCTCTGCCCAGCGTGGCCCTGGCGTCCGCCCTGGCTCGAGGGAGGGTGTGGCTCCCTGACTTCCTGGCCAGGAAGAGGGAGGGAGGGTGAGGCCAGGCGCAGGGGACGACTGTTGAATCCGAGCTCCCATGGGGTCACCTCGGGGCAGCGCGGCCGTGGGCCTTGGGCAGCTGGGCCTCGCTCCACGGCCTGCATCCCCCTGCCCTGTCTCCTGGCTGCCGGTCAACACGGCGCCCTCCACCTCCCGCTCACCTGGCAGGTCTGGACGCACCACTGCAGGCCCCTGCCGGGCTGGGGACATGCTGTCCCCCGCTCCCTGACTGGCCCCTCTCCCGTCTCCTGTGCACCCCCAGGGCTCATCTGAGACCCCAGCCCCTGCCCGGGGCCCCAGCCCATCAGGGTTTGTTTCCGTAGCTTCGCAGCTCCTGAAGCTCAGATCCGGGACGCAAGCCTCGGGGTCGGCGGACGGCTCGCCTGGCCTGTGCGCTGACCGCCCTCCAAGGTGGGCTGGCCGGGCCGGCGGGCTTGTCATGGCGCTGCACCCCGCGGGTCTGGGGCTCACGGCTTCTCGCCCCGCCAGCCCCGTGCGGGATCTCCAGATGCCCCCTCACCTTGGGACAGGCCCTCCCCACCCACCCCTGGCATGTGGCCGGGCAGGAAGCCCCCTCTGGGGACCCTGTGCCCCTCCCCAGCCGACTCGTGACCCTCCGAGGACCCCGTGGGGGCAGGCACGGGGCAGGCCGGTGGGAGGCGCCGGCCGCCGGCCTGGGCCGGGCTGGCTCCGGGCCTCGACAGGCCTGTCCTGCTCCGTGGCTCTGTTCCGCGTCAGACGCGGCCGCGGTGGGCGGGTGTGAGTCAGGCGCTTGCTCAGCCAAGCTGGGACGCGCCCTCCTCCGGGCAGGACGCAGCCTCGGGGCACGCTCCCCAGGCCTGCGAGGACCCTGCTCTGCCCAGCAGGGACTGCACCCGCCTGGGGTGGCCACCCTGAGCCTGGCGGTGGGCAGCCTGGCGGGGGGCAGTCAGGTGAGGCGGGGCATGCTCACGCCTGTGGCGTCTGGGGATTCGCGCCAAACTGGGAAACATAGAGCAGGTGCAACAGAGGCTCGGGTGTGGACGTGGGGGCTGGCAGGAAGGCTGCTCTCGCTCCGCCAGCGCAGCCGAGCCCTCAGAGGTGCAGGCCCTCACGGGAGGCAGCTGGGCTGCGGAAAGCCCCGGGCCCTCTGGGGATGCTGAGAGCTGGGTTGACTGTGAAGGGTGTTACAAAGGGCGTTTGGAGCCCAAGGCCAGGCCCCTCTGCACCTGCTGGTCAGCTGGAGGCCCCACGGCCTCAGCAGGAGGGTGGGTGGCACCACTGTGGCCCCGTGGGGTGGTGGGACCCGGGTCGGGGGTGTGCAGGTAGCCTGGCCTGGTGAGGGACACTCTGGGGTGCACCCAGGTGTCCCCTGAATCGGCTGGATGCAACCTGCCCCTAGCCCATCTACTGTCCCGTCCCCCGCACCTGGCCACGAGGCAGAGAGGGGTGGGCAGCAAGGACGGGCAGTGCCCATGGCAGCCACCGGGTCCTGCGTGGGCTGCTGACCACCCTGCCCTCTCACAGCCGCCTGCCGACCTTGCAGCGATGCAGAGGTGCTGCTGGCTGCCTGCACCAGCGACTTTGGTGAGTGACCGCTAGCCACCGGCCTGCCTGCCTGCAGCTCGTGCCCTTGGTGGTGGACTTGGGACTGGCCCTGGGAGGTGCTGGCTGGGAGGGCCAGGCCTGGGCAGGGCTTGGGTGGGCACAGCCTGGAGGGAGGAGCGGTGGACCCGGGCTCTGCTGCGTGGTCCCCCAGGTCCAGGGTGGCTCCTGCTGGCCAGTGGGCATGTGGCTGGCTCTGGGCACAGGCGGGCGGGGAGTGGGGTGGGCGGCCCCCTCACCCACCCCTCATCCCTCCTTCCCCCCCACAGTCGTGCGCGGCGCCATCCAGGACGTGTCCCATGAGCCGGAGCGGCAGGCCTCGGCCATCCACCTGCGAGTGAGCCGGGTATACCGGCAGAAGAGCCGCGTCTTCCGGCCGGCGCCTGAGGGCGGCTGGCGGGGCCGAGTGAGCACACTGCTGCGGTGCGGGGTGCGGCCAGGTCCCGGCGAGTTCCTCTTCACCGGACACATGCACTTTGGGGAGGCCCAGCTGGGCTGTGCGCCCCGCTTCCAGGACTTCCAGCGGGCATACAGGGACGCAGAGCAGCGGGCACTGAACCCCTGCCAGGTGGGGTCTGAGGACGTGGGCCCGGCCGCCCTCGCGGGCACCTGACCCCAGGGCCACGTGGCCCAGGGCGCCCTGCCTTTGCTTGGCCGCATGTAAAATGCTAACTAAGTTATTATATTTTTTTTAAAAAGAAGTGTCCACAGGAAATGCCCCCGTGTGGTGAGCCGGCCCGGGCTGCCCCAGGGCCATCTCTAGGGCAGGGATCCATAAATACTCCGTGTCTTCTCCAGGCCTGGTTTGCAATGTGCGATCCCTGGTTCCAGGCCCACGGCCCCTCCGGAGATTGAGACCCGCACCCAGGCTCCCGCCCAGCCCCCAGACGCTCCCTGTTCCTCCTGTCCCGTGGTGCCCGCCCTCGGACACTGGCCGCCCTGAACGCCTGAGCCGCTGCGAGGCCAGGGCTCCCCAGAGCCCCGGAGGACGAGCAGGTGTCCTTGGCGGCCCTGCAACACCCACACATTGAGCCTCTGTGCCCCAGAGGGCTCCATCTGTGTCTAGAGGCCTGAGGGCCAAGGCCCAGGTGTTGCGGCTGTCTGGAAGCTGGCAGGGGCCTCCCCTCCCCGCCTGCTCGCCAACCCCTCAGCGTCACATGATCTGCCAGTGTGCCCGGTCCCCTCCCTGGGGACCCTGCTCCTGGGTTAGCCCCGACCCAGGACGACTCTGCCCACCAGGACCCAATTTCCAAACAAGTTCGCACCCAGACTTCCGGCTGGTCTGGCCTGGGGGCGCCCACCCCCGCAAGGCGTCTGGTGCGCCGAGCGCCGCCTCCTGACTGCAGAGCAGACAGGGAGTGAGCACTCAGGGATCCTGACCAGCGGGTGCTGAAGACCAGCGTGTGGCCACAGGGGGGAGTCGTGTGCCGCTCAGGTGTGCTGGCTCAGGTGTCCTGGCTCAGGTGTGCCGGCTCAGGTGCGCCGGCAGGTGGGTCTGTGGGCAGGTGCCGCACGACCAGGCGCTGGCTCCAGTTTCGGGCTGGCGGCCCTCGGGGGTTGGGGCCACAGCAGGCCCAGGGCTGCTGTCAGGCGCAGGCAGTGTCCGCCACCCATGTGGAGGGTCAGGAAGGGTCGAGGCAGTTGGGGCGGCGCTGCGTGGTCTGAGTTCTGCGGGGCTCAGGACCCTGACCCGTGGCGGGCGGGTGGGCGGGCTGCTCCGGGCCTGCGCAGGTGCTGTCCTGTGAGGAGCCTGGTGGGGCACAGCTCCGGCCACTGTGGGGAGGGCAGGGTGGGGGCCAACCTCCTGCCCTGTGTGTCCATCCTGGGGAAGCGCGCACCAGGCCTGAGGACGCCAGAGGCCCCGTGCCTGGTCAGTGTTCTGTAGGGCCGCCGTGGGCACCCAATGTCTTGCTGGAGGCTGAGGGGTGCCGAGCCCCCCCACCGCCACCCCTTCCCCCTGACGGGCCCCCACGCCGCACCAGGCCTTGTGCTGCCGGAAGGAGCCTCGGTCTGCAAGGCCAGCAGGGCAGGAGAAGCCCTCAGGCCTGCACTACCCCTGGCACTGGGGGTGGGGTCCTCCCAGCCTGAGGCCATCTCTGGCTCCAGGTGTTTCCATCTGGGACGCACCTGCCCACACCTGGGGTCACCTGTCCTGAGTCACCCTCTGCACCTACTTAAGGGGAGGGCAGCTCCTGCTTTCGCCTCTGTGGGTGGCGCCCACTGGCCCCCTGGGCCCACCTGCAGCTCCTGTTCTGTCCAGATCCCGCCTCCCCTGGCGACCCCGAAGGTCCCAGGTGTGCCCCTGCTGCTGTCCTGTCTGCGGACATGCTCAGGCCTGTTCCTGGCTGGGCTCTGCCTGTACCTGCGCCTCGGGGCGCCCCACACTCCAAGCCTCAGGCCACCCTCCCTGCTCCGTGTGGGCCGGGCAGCTGGGGCAGGAGGAAAGTCAAGACCTCTCCTGCTCTGCTGTGGGGGCGGGGGCTGGGCTCGGACTTGGGATACCCAGCCCAGAAGGGGCCACTCACCAGCGGTCCCCACAGGGTCTCAGCTGGGCCTTAGGGGCCCAGCGGTGGACCCTGGAGTGATACTGGACAGGCCGGCTGGGGCGCAGCCTGGGTTTTGGCCCCTCCCCCAGCCCCCCCCCCAGTGCCCTTCCCCTTCCCCAGGACACCTCCCTCCCCAGGGTCCCTCCCACCCCAGGGTTTCTCCCTGGGGGGAGGAGGGCAGGGCCTTGTCCCTCCTGAAAGCCCCTGGGCTGTGGTCAGTGTGGCTGGGGTCACTGGCCCCGGCACGGCACGTCCTTCCTCTGACCGCAGGCCTGGGCAGGTGGCCGGCAGGACCCTGCAGGGGTGTCGGGGCAGCCCAGGCAGCAGGGGTCTGTGACGACACCCAGGTTGAGTTGGATCCGTGAGGGTGGCCACAGCGGCTGGACCATGCTTGCCCAGGCGCGCACATCCCTGGCACCGTCTGTCAGGAGGAAGAGAAGGCTGAAGTAACAACCAGTCCTGGCTCCTCGCAAGGCTGCCCCTCCGGGCCCTTCAGGTCTGCGTCCAGGCCACAAGGGCCTGTGGGAGCAGCCTCGCGGGCCCTGCCCCAGCCCTCCCAGGGCAGCCGCCCTCTGTGCCCACACAGAAGCCTTCCTGGACACCACTGCTTCTCCTGCCCTGCTGGCCCCACGGCCCGATACCCACTTGCGCTAGCACCGACACCAGAGATGAAGGCGCCTGCTTGGCCCCACTGCTGGCCCTAGCCCAGGCGGTCACTGCTCCTCCAGGGCCCCTGACTGCCAAGGGCTGTCTCTACCCACCCAGGAGAGGGGCAGAGAGGGGGGCAGGTGCCTCGGCATGGCAAGAGGGTTGCAGGGGAGCAGACCCCTGCTCGCCGCCCTGCAGCCCTGCCTCTCACCCGCCCACCCAGTTGGGGGCTCCTGTCCCCCACGTGACCCCAGGTCCAGTGCAATGCGAGTCTTGCAGTGGTCAGCTCTGGCCAGGGAGCATGGCCCCAGCCAGGAGGCAGGCCACGCAGGAGGGGCCACAGAGACGCTCTGCCCCCGAGCTGTCCGGCCCCAGCTGGTGGACCTGGGCCAGACGCTCCAGCGGGGCGGGGGTGCTCTGCAGCCCGCTGACCCCGCTCGCTCGGGCCGAGCCACAGCCTGGGGGTCTGTGGGCTTGAAGCCAGGGAGGAGGGGCCTGCGGGCTCTGAGGCGGAAGCGGAGGCAAGTCAGAGGCAGGGAACAGCCCTCAGAGCCGCAGGTGCCGGGGCCGCCGGCGCAGGGCTGTGTGACTGTTCCTTGTCCTGAGGCCCTGAGCTGGCCAGCAACTCTGGGGCTCCCCAGCTCGTGGGACAGGATGAGCTGGCCTGGAGGAGAGGACGGCCCCAGCTGCCCGCAGGGTCCAGCTCCGGCCACTCCCTGGAGGGGCTGGGAGGAAGGGCTGCCCGGGCAGAGCATGCACGGGAAGCCGAGGCCTGTCCCCCGGGGGTAGAGACCCCTGCGAGGGCCTGGACTCCTCACAGCGTGTCCTGTGCCACTCAGCCTGCCCAGGCCCGGGGCCGGGGTACAGCAGGTCCTGCCCCGTGCCCCCCAGTGGTGTCCTGGAGCCCAAGAGTGATGTCCCCAGAGTTCAGAATGCCGAGGGGCAAGATGACCCCAGAAAGAGGCACAAGCTGCAATGCTGCCAGCAGAATGGGGGCGTCCGCATGAGTCTTGGGCAGGGACCCAAGAGCCCCCAGGCCACAGCTCTGGAGAGGCAGGGGCTGGAGGTCACAGAGGGGCCAACCCTCTCCGGGATAGGGGCCTCGGCCCAGTTCCCCCCAGGGCCCTGTGGTGCTGTCTGGGGGGCTCACAGCCAGACAGGAGGCTCCCGGGCCCCCACCATGTGGCTCCCCGGCCCCTCCAGGGGGCCAGGTCCAGGCGCCTCGGTGGCTGGAGTCAGCTGGACGAGCCGCGGGGAGCCCTGTGGTCACCTGCTGCCCTCCCGCCCTGAGGACGCAGCAGTTCCCCGCGGGCTCAGCTGCGGGAGGGAACCCCAGCGCGCCTGCGCCCCAGCGCGCCGGCCGTGGAGGGGAGGGGCGGGGAGCCCTGGCCGCTCACATCTGGCCGGGGGTGGTGTCAGGGCCCAGGAATGCAGGAAGCTGGTGGGGCTCTGGCAGAGCCTGGCCGCCGAGAGTGTGCCTGGGAGCAGGGGTCTGGGGCTGGCTCAGGGGCAGGCCTGCGGGGCAGCGGTTCCGGCGCCGCCAGAGCTGGCGACGCGCGGGTGTCCGCTGGAAGGGCCCTGCTGAGGGTGGCAGAGGCCGGCGGCGCCGCGAGGGGCAGGCACGGGGAGGCCGGGCCCTGCTCCAGGCTGCTGAGCTGTGCGTGTGCCCGCGCGTGCCCACATGCCCGTGTCCCACGTGTGCGGAGGGACTGGCCATGGCCGGCTGAGGGCCTGGGCGTCCCAGGGGCCTCTGTCCTCTACGCTGGCCGTGAGGTCCCCGCGACAGCCCCTGCCCCCCCCCCGCCCCCCCGCCGCTGGCAGCCCGGGCCCGGCCGTGGCTTCGGGCCCAGAGGCGGCCGCCCGCGCCCTGCCGGCCGCGCGCTTTGAAGCGCCGGGTCTGGCGGCCGCCCCGGGGGACAGCGCGGGGGCTGCGGCCGGTCACCGTCCGGCGTCCTGGCGCGGGCCGCGCGGGGGCGGGCACAGAGGCTCATTCACGCGGCTCCGGCCCCACCCCGCCGGCTCGGGGGTGCGTGCCCCCCCACCTCCCTGAGACCAGGCGCCCCAGGGGCGCTCCCGCAGGCGCCGGTGACCCGCGTGGGCCGCCGGGTGCGCCCCGCGCGGGAGGGTCTGCGCGCCCGCGTGGACGCGCCGCACGCCCGGCCAGCCCCGGCCAGCCCCGACCCCCGCGGGGGCGCCGTCGGGCCGGGGCAGGGGGCGCGCGGGCGGCCGCGCGGGGAGGGGCGTGGCGTCCGCGGGGCGGCGGTTGCGCGTGGCCGGACCCCGGAGAGCGTGGGGCGCCGTGACCTGGGTGCGCCCACGCCCTTTGGCACCTGGGGGAGGCGGGGCCCGGCGGGGCGGGGCCAGTCGGGAGGGGCGGGGCCACGGCGGGGGCGGGGCCGGCGGGGGGGCGGGCCCCGTGGGGCGGGGTCGTCGGGGCGGCCGAGGGGCCGCGAGGTCGGCGGGAGAGGGTCGCGCTGGCCCCCGCGGGCGGTGCTGGGCGGTGCCCTCCGGCCGGTGCCCTCCGCGGCCCCCGGCACCCGCTGCAGCGCCGGGACCGTGCCCAGAGAGCCGCGGCCACCTGGGTCCAGAGGCGGGCGGCGGCCGCCCCGTGTCTTCTGTCGGTGAGTGGCCGCGGGGCAGCGCCGGGCTGACGGCCCTGGACGAGCTTGACCTCCTGGGCCTGTGGAGACT